GTGCCTATAGTCCCAGCTACATGGGAGGCTTAAACAGAGGATCACTTGAAGCCAAGAGTTTGAGGTTGTTGTAAGCTATATGATGCCACAGCATTCTACCCAAGGTGAGAGAGTGGTGAGACTCTGTCTCAAAAAAAAAAAAAAAATACAAAAAACCCAAGTCATAAAGCAAATGATTAATAAGACAAAATAACATTATATATAGCAAAAATACCCTATGAACAAAATAAGACAAAAAGGCAACCAGGAGAAAAATACATACATCATGTGTGACAAAGAGCTAATATCCTTAACATAGAAATGGACAAAGGATATAAACAGAAAACACATTATGATAAACAAAAAATATGCTAAATCTCATAAATATTTTAAAAAATGTACATTAAAACAGAAATTTATTTAACCAAATCAGAAAAGATTAAAAAGTGAATACCACTGTTGGTGAAGAAATACAACCGGACACAAACATGGGAGAAAGTACACCCTGGTACAAACTTTTTATAGGAGAATGTGGCAGTCTATTAAATTTTTTTAAAAGTAACAGTGCTAAAAAGAACACATTTATCATTCAAAATGAAAAATACTTCTACAACATGAACTCACCAATCTTAGAAGGAAAAAGAGTTTCATCATCAAGCTGATCTTGAACCCAAGTCATCAAATAGTCAATGTATTTTGGAGCAGAGCATTTGATTGGCTTTTTAATATTAGTACCATCTGCCCAGTGATATTCATATCTGGAGAAAAAAATGTTTTACTTATAAAGTTTTAAAAAATATTAACAAACTTGTAATCAAAGCAGGCTCACATTTTATCAATACAAGTTATATGTAACTTTAATAAGTCACCTAAAGTTCTACTAAAGATCACTTCAAGTATCCTGTAGAATTATTCTGAAATATGCTGGCTATAATTGGAAGATAATGTGGCAACTGGGAATGCCAGAATAGATGTTTTATAAACAACACAACCCTGGGAAAGATAAAGGGATTGGATTCCTATCTGTAAGGCAGAGGGGTGCTAAGGACTAGGTAAGGAGCTGATGGACCCACTACATTCTGGGATCCTTGGCTATCAATTTATTATCAGCAGTGGAGTCAAGATTATAAAACACTGTTTCATGAATAGGGTGTTAGAGAAATACCCTTAGACAAGCATATTTCTCTCCCTACCTTTGCTGAGCTAGAAATATTAACAAGATTTATGTAAAACTTCAGAGCATTTAATTTTCCTATTTATTTTATTTTAAAGCTTGAGGAATAAAACTTAACATGAAATACTATAAACATTCCTCTTAAAATATTATAATACAAATAGTATAAAAACTCATTAGGGATCTTTGTTCCTCCTCTACATGTAGCAAAATCAGAAAAGACTATCTTTTCTAGAGGCAAACATCTTTTTTTTTTTT